TTAATATTGACATACATTAACATCTCATGCTTTGTGAGTGTAACTGTAGATCTGGATTGCTGTCTGTGAGCTACAGCCTCCTGACGTTGGCCCCACCCCCCACTCATCAGACCAAATTTACACCTCTGCTACCGTCCAGAAACAAACCTAATGTGTATGTATGCTCCCTGTATACACAATTAGATTATCAACAAAACGGGATCTGACCGAGGGTGCACAAACTTCTGCACAAGATGCAAAACCTGACCTGCTATGAAAACGTAAATCTTTATTAGGGTTGAAACTGAGATAAAGAAGTAGTGAAAGATCTGATCTACACAGTTTGACCCCTTTAACTCAAAGGTAATCATTCGAGACACGTTGGGTGTCTGAAGTTGCTGCGAGGCTAATGCAGCTAATAAGTAATGGAAGCTTAAATCCCACCAATTAGCATCGTTAAAACCACACGTCTAAATCTGCTAGATGTAAATCTGCATTGTAAGAAACTGTATAGCTTTAAACCTTAAAGTAACTGGGCTAACTTGTAACATTGAGTTTGCGGAACTTTAAATAATAAGTTAATAAACACGAAAACACAAATTATTCCTCCGTTAACTTTATTACAAGCTTAATGAACTTAAAATTAAAGTTAACCCAGTTACTTCAAGTTTAAAAGCTGCCTAATTTTTTTTTTTTTACAGTGTATGTCTTCTGTAAATCTGATTTTCCACCAAACCGGCCCTCTAAAACTGGAGGAAGAGGCAGGTTCTCCGTTCCTGGAATACATCACTGCGAAAGGGAGCGTCTCCCATTGCTTGGTTAAAAGCGAGCTGGTCCTTGCACGTGCATTTCCAGTGAAAACGCATCATTAAATCGGCCTCCTTCTGAGCCGGGAGCCTCAATTACAGCTTGTAAGGGTGACTTTGCATTTTTGAGGAAATTATATGGTCAATAAAACGAGCAAAGCGCAACGTTTCAGCATTGCAATGCGTGGAATGACCTCTTTGAAGAAGCACCAGTTATGCTGTAAATCTCCCAAATAAAAAGTAAAGCAGCACCAAACCCCCCAGTATACAGCCCACCCACTGCAGTTAGAGTCATCTCTTCTCTTCTCTCAGGCGGTACTGGAGTCGTCTCTATGCCTGCACGTCTGTAATCTTTGCAGATCTGACCATACGAGTACTAGCCTTAAATAAATAAATAGATATCATCATGTTCAGCTTTCTTTAGGTGCGTTAAAGGGGAACTCCAGCAATCCAGCTGTTTAACCTAATCTTGCTCCGCTCCACCTACAGCATGTGGTTTAGCACTTTGAAATGATTTTCCTGTCTGAAAACTATTCGACTTACAATAGATGCCGATGGGCAGCTGCTGAATTGTGTCAGTAAACATTTACGTGAAACACTTTCATGAGTTTTTCAGTCACAGACACTATTTTTTGTCCTTTCCGAGACGGGACCAGTTTTCCCGAGGGAAGAATTTGTTCCCAGTCTAGCGATGTGGGCGGAGCTTTCACAAGCAGACAGAAAAGCTCATTAAAAGTGATAGTAACCGGAATTGTTTCACCCCTTGGTTGCGCCAGTGTTGAACCTACAGCTTGATTCAGACCTTCTCTCACGTTTGTCTCACCCTAAGATCTAATATGCATTATATAGTCACACATTTCACGCCAAACTCAGCAACTGCCCATTGGCTTCTATTATACCCGAGCATCAAGTCAACACTTTCTCTGCTCTTTTCCAAGAACACGAACACGCAACAAAATAACTGTCTGTGGTCATCTCTCACCAACGACAGACGCATCAGATAGAGATTAGACTGAAAATTGCTGGACTATTCCTTTAACGGATGAGGGTATGTGAAGGGTCTTGTGTTCAGCCTGTAGCCATAAGATAATGACATATACTGAAAGCAGGCTGCAATATTGAATGAGTAAAACCTTAATATGTTGACTGTGCATTTCCAACCCTACACAAAAAGTCTGACCCTATAGGCCTGAAAAGCACTCTCTGTATAAACCTTGCAGAACTAATATTGAAGAAGTGAACAGCACAATTTAAAAAGTGAACAATGCAAAACTAACAGTGAAATAATCAACTAATAGTATCATAGTAATAGCATCACTGAAATGCAGCAGGTAAGAGGGACTGTACAATAAGAGTTAAAGCCCCGCCCCCTTTTTGAAGTCCTCCTCTAAAAGCCTAATACTCCAAACCGCCCTCACGGTGCGGCGTCTTAGGATTTCAGTCATAGTCTTACGTTCACTTGAACTGAACAGCAGTGAGGAAAAACTGGCACCTTTCATTTTATAAGAAGGAGATGTGGTGACAGATCAGGGACGAGAGAGAGAGAGAGACAGAGATGAAACCCCTCGTTTCTTCTGCTCTTTGTTAGTTTCTGGAGAGGCTGCCTGACTGCCCGTCCCCTCATCCTCCCATTCTCTGCAAACCATGCACTGACCACATGTCCGTGACTGGACTTAACGGACGTAACTGTCCAGCAGGGGTGTGAAAACGCTCTGAAAAGCCTCAGAACATGATTCAACTTCGGAATGTTAACTTCAAACAATTATAGTAATAAATAATATTACATTATTAGCATTTTCAATACTGTGCTCAGGCTATTTTCTCTCTTTTATTGTCAATTTTAGTGTAAGTCCAGTTTACAGTCGCGTGCAAAAGTTTGTGCACCCTTGCTCAAACAATGTTTTGCTGATTTAAAAAATAAAAATATAAAATACACGTTACAGCTCTACAGAGAAACCTTTCATTAGCTAAACATATTGGGGGAAAAATAAAACGTAACTGTGCCAAAAGCTATGACACTATGGTACTGTATGTTTTATTTTTTTTCCCTCCAATATGTTCCAAAAATATAAAGAAATAAAAACAGAAACTGTGCACTGAAGTTTGCAGAAGACTGTTATATGTAAAGTCTGTTCCCTGTAGAGGAAAGCAATGTAACGTCTAAGTCGACTGGGGGTGCACTAACTTTTGCACATGACCGTAAATGCGACTGGAGAAGCTATTTACACAAAAAAATAATAAAAATATTAAACAGAGCCGACTCCAGAGGGCATCCATCTAAGCGCTGGCTCCATCACTAGGAGCCTATTTCGATCCCTAGTGCTGCCACAGCCATCCGTAAGTCTGAGAGAGCGTAATTAGCCTCGTCTTTAGAATCGAATCACATTGAGTTGTGTTGAAATCGAATCATTTCCTAAAAAAAAAATCATAAATGAATCCTCATTTGCACCCCTTCTGTACCCCCCACTCCCCATCGGTGATCAGCCAATCACAGTCAGTTTATATTATCAAATAAATTCTAAACAAAACCAGATCTAAGTAATTAGATTAAAACTGGTTGCAAAGCTGGGTGGTCTGTGAGGCCTGTTAGTGGACTATGCTGGACTCTTAGAACACCTGAGCCACACCGTGAGGGTTTAAGGCGAAGGGACTTACTCAAAATCTAATCAAATGCAGATGTCAAAAGTGGGGGCTGGACAATGGAAACTGCTCAAGGCTTTACTGCCCACCACCATCTGTACAGTCTTATGTCCACTGAGGGTTAGAAGGCTCAAGATGCACCAGGCGGATGGAGGTCCTACCTGGTTAGTGTGCGTTTCTTGCATTAGCGATTAGTGCAAAAGAAACACCAAACGAACAAATCACAATCATTCTGCGGTACATAAACCTTCAAGCCACTTAGATTCGAGGGATGTCGGACACTAACATGCGTGTGCGTCTCTGCATGTTACGCGGGGGATGACGGCCACTGTGTTTGTATATGCATAAACAATCAGTTTGTATCGAAGCCTAATCGATACACTAGTCGATCAAACTATCCCCACTTATCTAAACTACAATTCCCACAATCCCTCGTGCATACTGAGCAGTGCAGGTTTGCGCAAAACAAAAGGGAACACTGATCTCTGAAGGATTCTGGCAAGAGTGCGAGTTAGTTTCCATCTCTCAGTCTCGGTCAGCCTGTCCATCCGCAGAGAAACAACACCAGCACAACCTGCTTCACACTGCCGTTACCATGGAAACATCTTAAGATCGGCCACCTGGCGGAATGCCTCTTAATGTCCCGTCAAAAACAGATTCTTCAGAGAAAAGCACTGCGCGGGTGTGTATGCATGTGTGTAAAACATTAAGTACCCAACCAGGTGCTTGGAAGGCAGCGTTGCGCTGGATCCGTTTCCTGCTTCCTGCCTTAACCCAATGGTTCTCACTCCCACTCTTGGACCCCATGCGGAGCACATTTTTTGTGTTCTTAGTGCCCTAACATGAATAAAAAGGTCGATAATTGCTAAACGTTAAACTTCACTACGGTTCAAACGTTTGGAATCAAACTTTTCAATAAAATAAAATCAGTTCCAGGTCTAAAAAGATTAACACACAAGTTTTATGCAACTGCATAGCTTTCAAAAGCAGAGGGGAACTCCGCCGATCTTTGAAAATATCTGCATAATAAATGGTTATGATGTAAACAAAGTCATTCAGAGTGGTTTGGTGTGAAACGCTCAGTTCTAGAGAAACTTACAGAACCAGAAATGTGCACAGTGGTGGTGATAGGAACCAGACGTCTGAGGACTGCTAATGCCTCAAAAAGCTCTGTCACAGAAAGTTAATACATTAAATGATTATAAACAATGCCATTGTTTAAAACATTGCTGTATGCAGGCTGTTGTGAGCCAAAATAATCTGCAAAGAAACTTATTTTTTTAAGATTTATCACTATTTTACCACCATCAACATCACACAAGAACTAAGACGTTTATGTTCACCAGTTTTTTTTTAAATTATATATACATATATATATATATATATATATATATATATATATATATATACATATATATCGCTGCTGTCAGAACAAAACCTTGTATCTCTATTTTTGTCCTTTTTCAGTTTTTGACATTTGAAAATACCTGTTGATCTTTATATTATGCGCAAGTTTCATGATGAAAAAAGTCTGTTTCCACTGACTTACATTAAAAGTGACCCTGGTAAGGGCAGGTTTCTCTACAATGAACCATTTCACCTCAAACTACTCTGAATGACTTTACATCTCAATGACTGAACTAAACAGAAATTTCAAAAAATTGGTGGAATTTCCCTTTAAGAAATTGCAGTAGTGTCCAGTTAAATAATGAACACAGAGCTGTGAGTGGTTCTAAAATGACTGGATGACTGAACAGAATAAAAACAGAATGCCTCATTCGTCAGACGTGATCACATCTTGAGGCAGACAATGTGACCAAAAATTAATAAATAGACAATAAAAGTATATTCAGTATATTCATTTAACAACACTTGAAAGTGTACGGTTTAACATATTAGAATCTAAGTTATTACTGTATTGTATTGTGATTCCAAACTTTTGAACAGTAGATGTAGGTGAAGTAGAGCAGCCAATGCACAAAAACACATGTATGAGGTCACCACAACTGGACTTTTATGACCACCGCTCTGACCCCTCCAGCTCTACACCCTGCTTTCCCCTGTCTCTAACTTGGAGGCCCCACCCTCCTCCCTCCTGCTGCCCCGTTCTTGACAGGCTCTGCCCAGCAGGCTGAACTGGTAGCCGGTGAAGGTGGGGCTGATCGGCAGGTGCTGGAAGATGCGGTGGCGCCGGAGGAAGTCCATGCCAAACGGGAGGTCATAGGATCGCATCCCCTCCAGCTCAGACGCACTGGGACCAGTCCCACGCTTCAGCTTACGGATTCCCCTCTCCTCTGGAGTGCCTATACATGCACACAAACACGTTTACCACACCACTGAAAGGTTTTGAGTTGCTCAATATAATAAATTTGATATACATACACTTTTAGAACGTAGATTAAATGGTTATGAAGTAGACACCAGAAGGTATTTCTACATATTTTGTTCAATATTTCAAGAATTCTAGAGAAACAAAAGGTATTAAATTATAAACGATATACTATAATTACCTATCTACAATCATTTTGTCAAGTTATCTGTCTCAAGTTTGGTAACCACTTTTTAAATATGAGGGATAATGAATATTATTGATTATTATAACTTAATTTCTCAGTCATTTCAGAATCATCTACAGCTCCATTCATCATTTTAAAGCTTCCTAGCTTCCTGGCAGTTATTTGAAAGCCATAAAGTTGCACTGCCCTAGCATATTTGACTCAGTTTACACATGTTCCAGCAACCAAACTGGTTTAATATTATTACAATCATCAGGCCTCATTCACCACATGTAAATATCTTCCTAAGTGCTTCTTAAATGTGTTCTTGATAAACGTCCTAAGAAAAAGTCGACGTCAGATTCATGACGTGTTCTTAAACCACAGAACTGTTCGCACCTCTGTGCTCTTGAGTGTGCGTAGATTCTGTTCTTACCTAACAACAAATCCCAAATAAGAAAACACTGGTGAATGTCAGAGTCTTCGTAAAAACTACATAAGTGGGTTTTCAGAAGAAATTTCCTCTTAAGAAGAAGAAGAAGAAGAAGAAGAAGTTGGTGAATGAGATCCAATGATTCTAAAACTCTGAACGATAGTCTGGATAGCATCACATCCTGTGAGGGGAATTCCCGTCCTGAATGCACTCACCGGGAATAGTGTTATCCAGAATAAATGCCACAGAACCTCCCACGAACATGGCTGTGGTCAGCAGGACGTTCAGCACCTGGTCAATCTCCACTATCCCTGCAATGGAGCGAGAGAGAGCCACCACACCATCACATACACAACACTCTTCTCAGATATGTTCACATCAGTGCAAATACTGCAGGCTGAATTTTTTAGGTGATTTGTAAATGTGGCCATGGTTGTGACATCACAGCCATGACGAATTCATAACAGGGGAGTGAAGCCTACTTTCTGAAACTATAACAATGTTTACAGTATTTACAAACTCTTGTTTTCCACAATGCTATCCAAAAAAAAATCATATGTTGTGAATGGCTGTGTGGGATTGTGTGCGTGTTTACCCACCAGTGACGAGCGGGTTTCCCCGGAGATAGCTGGGCAGGACCAGGCCGAAGAAAATGGAGAACCCGAGGACGAAAAGGTTGCGAGACGAGTTGAGGTCGACGAACTGCAGGTTGGACAAACCTACGGCCGTGATCATCCCGAAGAGCGTGCAGAACAGCGCCCCCAACACGGGGTCCGGGAGAGAGGCGAAGAGCGCACTGAACTTCCCCACAGTGCCCAACAGCAGCATCAGCACCGCACCGTACTGAATCACCCGCCTACTGCCCACCTGCGCAAATCACAGCAGACCACACCATCCAATCAGCCAATGAGGAAGAAGATTCAGTTATATTTCCAGTACCAGCTAAAAGTCTAATGGCTCCTGTTTAAAACCAGGACTTTCGTGATTATCGCTGCTCTAAAGGGCCCATTTTCTAAATATATACATGTTTGATATCTGTGGTTGCCTGTGCTGAATGTAGTTGTATGTATTAACAACAGTCATAATTCATTGTTACTTTTTTTTTTAGTTTTTGTTACTGACATATGTAAACGATCTCTGTTCTGATTGGCCGTCCTGTATTGCACAGTTCAGGCAAGAACACTAATTTCTGCACAAACAGGCGGAGCTAAACCGGTATAAGCTGAGTAGGAGAAGTAAATGCATCGTTTTTGTGACATAAATACAGTGAATTGAAATCAGAGTGATTCAGGCTTAGTTTCCACATGTGGACCATATAGAGTGGGAGTGAACGATACCTATGGAAACTTTAATGATGTTTACGTACTACATTAAACTCTTATTAAAAAAAAAAAAAAAGGAAATTTGAGAAAATTTCAGTTTTCCACAATGTAGGCCTTCAATAATTTAATACTGCATATTTTTACTGTTGTGACAAAATCTAATTTTGGAGCTTTGCTACAAACACATTTCAAAGGGGTAGGTGGTGTTTTGATATTGTGTATACAATCAAATAAAAAATACACAAAAATGTGTGCATGTATATATATATATATATATATATATATATATATATATATATATATATATATATATACACACACACACACACACACACACACACACACACACACACACACAGCTGTTGTCGGAAGAAAACCTTGTATCTCCAAAATGGTAACTTTACAGGAGAAGAAAAAAAAACATACATTACTTTTAATGTAAGTCAATGGAACCAGGTGTGTGTGTGTGTGTGTGTGTGTGTGTGTGTGTGTGTGTGTGTGTGTGTGTATATACACATTTCACATTACGCATTTATTGCTGATTTCTCTCTGGCTCCAAAGTTGGAAGCTCAGTGGCCACTCAGACACTATTAACTGTAGTGTCCACTGCTGTGACTGAAGTGCTTCCAGTGGGTCAGTGATGCATGTTCTGAACACAAGGTGGTGCTGCACCAACCCAACACTGTAATTACTGTCTAATTCGAGAGTGCAGTTCTGTGATTCACTGAATTAGAGGGTTATTGTATGTATTTTTAACTCCAGGACAGTTTGAGTCACAGTGGACAAAATAAGGAAAAAAGTATAATTTGATCTGGACGAGAGACGAGAACAAGTACGAGAGGAAGAATGTCCTGACGGCAGAGCTGTTCCAGTGAACGGAGAGACTGTAGAACTGGAGATCCAGGGCTGTTTTACCTTAGTGATACCCAGCACTCCGATGTTGGGACTGGAAGACGTGGAGCCGTTTCCTGTGCCGAACAAACCGTCCAGCACGCAGGAAAGACCCTCAACAAAAATCCCTCTGAGAGAGAGAGAGAGAGAGAGGGAGGAAGAAGAAGAAGAGAACAAAATAAGAGGAGGGAAGAGGAGAAAAGTTTAACAATGACTTGTTAAGCTCAAATTAGACCCTAAAGAATGAAATGCTCCATTTAAAAAGCTGTGTATTTTATTATATCCATATGAATGAACAAAATAAGCTTCATCAGAAAGTATTTATTACTTTAATTCATTTAAATAACATTATTTTCATTATGTGAACGCAAAATTCACATGACCCTATCATTTATACGGGCTGTCTGCCGGTGGTGCTGAAGGTATCGCTTTAACAGTCATTTAAGAGCTGTTTTTGAATGAGGGGGCTATAATAACTGTCATAGCAACATACAGTGCGCTGCAGATGGGTAGAAAGCTGTACAACATTAAGAAAGAAATTATGCTGAAATTAATTTCCACAATGCCTCTATTTTCTTGCTTTTTTTACCTGTTAATAGCGTGTACAGGAGGTGGGGGGGCAGCAGACAGACGTGCACAGGCGTAATAATCTCCAATAGACTCAATGATGCTGGCAACCACCGCGCTCATCATCCCTATCACCCCTGCTGCGGTTACCGTCGGCAACCCCCACTGAACTGCAAGAGAGAATACAGAATCAGTTTAGAGAACCACACTCATACTGCTGCTGTCCAGAGAGCTCTTACTTCACGTCATTATACAGTATGTAGCATAAACAGAAAGAAAATCGAAAGTTTTAAATCAATGTTTTCAATAATGTTAACTGTTTATATTATGTTTGCGAATTACATGTGGGTATAAAATGAATTTATTAAGATGATATGATGATATTTATATAATATAATATGCATATCTATATAATATTATATGCATAATGAGATGCTAATCCTATACAATTTTTCCAATATACCAGAAATTAAACACGTCCTGATCTGATCCAGTGGCACCGTATGGATGTCATGGATCACATATTGGTAACATATCAGTCTAGTCCAGCGGTCGGCAACTCAAATGTTAAGAAGAGCCCTTTTGTCCTTTCCACAAAAAGCAAACCACCTTGGCAGCCACACTTTATGTCCATTTTACCATCTTGGCTGTAAATCTGTGAAAACACAGACTTATTTTGCTCCGCTTTAAGCTTTAGCTCCACTATAGCTGCTTTTCTCGCATCTCCGGCAGGAAACTTTTCTGCAAAAGTGGAATAGTTTCTTGTAAAATGTCTCTCATCCTTTGACTTTTTACCGCTGAAGTCAGCTTCTCACTGCAACTCCTTGTTCAAATTTTTCCGTTCCACCTTAAATTGTGCCTTAGGTGCCAGAATGTAACTGTTCCACCATTTAAGGTGGAACGGGAAAATTTGAACAAGAAGGTGGTGAATGAGAATCTGACTTAGCGACTTTTTAGGGTTTGACAGTTTCTCGTTGCAGATTAAATGCATTAGAATAAGTCCATTCAAGCTTCATTTTACTGCAAAAGAGGATTATTTTATTTTTACCTAAAAATCTAAGGTAAAAAAACACAAAAAGGTAAAAATTATAAAAAAATGCAAAAATCTAGAGTCACAACAGGGCAGCACCGTTGCCGACCCCTGGTCTAAATTGACGTTATGCACATAAGAAAAGAGGCCGTTTTAATTAGCATTTGCTAATAAATTATAGTTGCTGTCAGAACAAAACCCTGTATCCATTTTTTGGTCACTTATAATACATTTTACTCAATTTGAAAAACTGCCAAAAAACTGGATTTGGAATAAAAGATCTTTAAAAAACATTTGCTAGTTTATAATATTTAAATCTATATTATCACTGCGTAAGTTAATATTGTGGCAGCACGGTGGCGCAGTGGGTAGCGCTGTCGCCTCACAGCAAGAATGGCCTGGGTTCAATTCCCGGCTGGGTGACCAGGGTCATGTCTGTGTGGAGTTTGCCTGTTCTCCCCGTGTCTGCGTGGGTTTCCTCCGGGTACTCTGGTTTCCTCCCACAGTCCAAAGACATGCAGTCAGGCTGATTGGACGTGCTAAATTGCCCCTGGGTGTGAGTGAGTGTGTGAATGTGTATGTCTGTCTGTCTGCCCTGCGATGGACTGGCGACCTGTCCAGGGTGTATCCTGCCTTCCGCCCAATGACAGCTGGGATAGGCTCCAGCACCCCACCGTGACCCAGAAGGATAAGCGGTTTAGAGGATGGATGGATGGAAGTTAATATTGTATTTAAAATTCCAAACACTGTTAGTTTCGCTTGAACCACAGCCTATATACACTGTACACAGGCCTATAGACTTGTTAAATGCCTTTCACATCTGAAAAAACGTCACAGACACTCACAGGGGTAGGGTACTTTAAACCAGGGGGCAGCTGCCAGGATACCCTGCCGGGCATCTGTCCGAGCGTAGAAGCCATACTTTCCCCTTTCAGGAGGGAACACATCCGTCACAGTGAAGATAAAGCACAGAAACCAGGAAACGAGTATCGCCATGATGATCTACAGAGAGACCGAGACAGAGAGAGAGAGAGAACAAGGAACATCACTGTTTTGGTTAATCACCGGTTGCAGTAACCCTGTTCTGGGTGTGGTCCATCCATATCCATAATACACAGTGGCACAACACATAATTGCCTTACAAAGCCAGACATGTTACCCACAATCCCTGGCTTGGTCTCTAGGCAGTGTAGCCCACAGGCCTCCGTGACTCAGGCCTGAATGAATCAGCATATTCTCAGCTCTCAGACACCCACCATTGTCCTCGCCATCTACTCCCAGGTTAAACCGCGGCAGGCGGCGGGAAATCTCCCCGCCTGGCATGGTCGGGCACGCTGAGTTCATTAATGAGCCCATCAGCTGTAATCCAGACTCGTCTATAGAGGCTCCCTGGCACAGGTGCCAAGCCCTCATCAAACACACTGCCGACTGCCAACTGGTGCCACCAGACTGTTAATGATCATCATAATCCTCTATCAGAACCCACTCCTGCAGCGCCAAGAGGGTTTAACCCTTTATACTCGCCCAACACTCCTCAGATAAACTCATTCATACTGTAAATCTTATTTTTAAGGTCTCTAGATGGGAAATTCCGCATAAGCTGCAGCTGGTTCCATATAGTCATAAGCAAAATTACGTTTTGTTGATTTTATAAGAGAAAAAAGTAAACATTCTCCATATATATGGAGTTTGCTCGCTCTCCCCGTGTCTGCGTGGGTTTCCTCCGGGTACTCCGGTTTCCTCCCACAGTCCAAAAATATGCAGTCAGGCTGATTGGACATGCTAAATTGCCCCTATGTGTGAGTGTGTGTGTGTGAATGTGTATGTCTGTCTGTCTGCCCTGCGATGGACTGGCAACCTGTCCAGGGTGTATCCTGCCTTCTGCCCAATGACAGCTGGGATAGGCTCCATGGTTCCATTGACTTACATTAAAAGTAAAGTAGGTTTTTTTCTTCTCCTTTAAAGTTACCATTTTGGAGATAACAAGGTTTTATTCCGATATAATGTGCCATAACTTTTGCACAGGCCTCATCCTATGTTTTACTTCTTCCCTAAAAATGTTTATTTCAGTAAATAAACAGTAACTGTGCATTAAAAGGTGCAGAAGTTTGTTCTCTGTATGTTTTAACTTATTTTCACTTAGAAAATCAACAAAACGTGATTTGACCAGGGGTGCACAAATTTTTGAAAATGCCTGTATGTGCCCTGCAGAGTCGAACGCCAGTGTGGGAGCCCTTGGTCAAATGTTCCGTTGACTTTTGTTTCTCACTGCAGCTATGAGGCTGATGTGGACCACAATCCCCTGTTATACTATTATCTATAAACATAACAAAAGTACATCAGCACAGCTAAAACAGTAGCGGTAGCCATCTTGAAGCTAGAACGTCTGCACTTTAGTCCATTTCTACAGATTAGAAAGCCAGTAATGAAGGAAACTTCAGACACCAACATACAGTGGCTGGTCATTTACGTTTACAGTTAAGAGTGTGTGTGTAAAAACTGTGTTAATCAGATTTATTTTTGCAAAACTCTTGCTTTCAGTTGTATCCTACATAGGGCTGCATGACAAACTGTACTTTTTAATCAAATTACATTACATGTGTGCAGCAGGAGAGTGAAATAATGAAACGCGTGAGGAACCATCTCTAATATTAGAGCAGTGGGAAGCTGGTCTTAGCCTGGAACTAAAACTCTGCTCTCCAGAGTGCAGAGAGAGTGATTTAACCACTTTCCTACAGAGATAATTACATAACTGTCTATATAACTACCAGCTAAGTAAACTGCAATAATCCTTTAAACACGCTGATTATCTTCCTCAGTGTTGTGTGTCAAGTGTATGAATCAGTATCACTATTAGGAGCTTTTTACTGACTGTAGGCCTGTCCTGGAAAAGCTGTTCAGGGAATGCTGACCGCTTTTCTAACAGCCTTAAAGTATGCAAAATGTATTTATTATTGTGTTGTGAACAGTTTTTCATTCTTTTGTTTTTCATTTTGCACTACAGTGATTGGTTATGTGCTCCTTTAAAAGGCCAGGGCCCACCGACGGGTCCGAAGGTGTATTACACACTTCTGTAACCTAAGAATAGCTCAACCACTTTGCACTGAAGTCCCTGTAGTTCTGAATAATAAGCCTTAAGCTGGGCCCATACTACCAGATTTTAAGCCCGATTTTAAGCCCGATTTGCCCCTTGTGACAAATTTTCACAATCTGAAGCGATTTTCTAGGTGAGGAGCTCGATCGGAAGCGACTGACGGCATGGATGATCTGTTAGTGGGTGAATCTTTAGCCCTCCGATCGAGCTCTGAAGTGATCGGAGACCCTCCGATATTATCAAACGTTTGATATTTACGACATTCACGAGTGCTGTAGTGTGAGAAAGTCAGAGATGCACTGAGTGAGTTATTCAAACAGCCAATCAGAGAGCTGGATCAGCGGAAAAACAGGTGAAGAGACGCGCATGAACACTGCCTGAACAGCCGAGTGGAGACAGAGGAGCTGCGTGTAGAACACAGGCAGATAAGAGACGATATCGCGTTTATAATGTTGGGTCCAGACGTCAGGTCACTCTCTACAATTCAAATCAGCTCAGCTGCCAGTTTTTTAGTGAAATATTTCTCCAGCTCCCACAATAATATCAGTGCTTCTAAACTCCATTTTAATCCCCAGTTTGTGCTTTCGCTGCACATAAAAGCACAAACAGGTCCAGTAAGTTTAATATTATTGGGTCGTGTGATCCGAGGAGATCTGGGAGTTTGAGTTCTTATTCGTAGCCCAAACTCATTATGTGTGTTATTCTCTCTCTTTGCCCTGTGGTCTAATGTGAGCTCCCACGCAACGAAAATAAAATAAATTCGGTAAGAAACTGGCGTTAAGTTTGTGACGCTGTCCGTTTTTAATAATCGGTACAGATTTTAAAAGTCATGTAGTGAACGCCCAGCCTTAATGCATAATAAGCCTGGGATTTTAAGGGGTTCAAGAAAGCTTCGGTTTAATTACGCAGTTGCACAACCAGTCTGACATTATTTTAAATCACAATTTAGCGGTTCTCATATCATCACAGTATCCAAAACGTTTGGATTCCATGACAATCATGCAGCTCTATTCTTATACTCTTCATATTACCACATATAATTTTACATTACTGCTTCTCCCACAGTGAAACTCAACCTAAAATCTAAACTGACAAAACTGATATTTTTTTACATTGCTGGTTCACATTCCTGGTCATTTTGAGCACAATTCATCATAACATGCCCCACTTCTTCTTGTTTCCAAGAAAATTCCACGTATGTAATTTAATTCTATGTAATTCTATGTAAATTCTATGTAAATTCTGTCAGTGTAATGACTTTTGCTCCTAAAATGTCTTTGCATCTTTGATTATGTCACCATGTATCAGCAGGCAGAGAAGAATACTATTAATATGGACAATAATATCATGCAGCACCTTCTTCTCACTTCACCTCCATCTACCATTACGGGAAAACGCTCAGCTAGATTAGAGACCCTCCCTGATGCCTCCATGACACAGGTCACTCTACGGACATAATTTCCAAATTTAATTTTTCTTAAATTTAATTCACTTTAATAAAAATGTCATAAGTACCCATCCTCTATCATCCTCCTTCATCCTCCTCATAAGCTCTCAGCTCAGCTTATGACCGTGAGAAAAAGAACGCACTGTGCGTGTTTGTGTGTGTGTGTGTGTGTGTGCGTGTGTGTGGATGGCAGACAAACTCACAGGAAACATCTTGAAAAGCTGCAGGCGGTAGGAGGTCCAGCCTTTCTTGGCTTTGTAGATGGGGAACGGCAGCTGTACGTTACGAGCGTACTGAGAAAACAGCAGCACCAGAAAGATCGTCCTGCAGAGAACATACGACAGAATGTGAGACACATACAGCTCCAGTTTGTTCCAGACCTACTTTTCCACGTCTTTCCTTCAATTCATGAGGCATCAGTTCATTTTTAAGGGCTCATATTAGACAATTTTCTTGTTAAATAAATATTATTTTATTTTTCACCGTGAGGTCCACTTATAACTTGTGTGCTTTTATGTAAATAATTTTTACATAACAATTTTCCAACTTTTTTTTTTTAATGCCTCAGAATTAAACAGGCTGTTACTGTGCCTTTAAGACTGATATACGCAAACGAGCTCTGTTCCGATTGGCCGCCCTGTACTTTGCCTAATTCATAAAGTAGTCTGACCTGAAACACTCTTTGTAGAGCTGAACTGCTGAAGGCCGAATATGTAAATGTAATGGTTTTGTGTGACATCACAAAAACCGTGAATTAAAGAGGCCGTTTTTGCATCTTAGTTTGCATATTTGGACTGTGTGGACTGAAGGGTGAACAGCATGTTTTGAAACTTTAACAATATTTTCATGCTGAATCAAACTCTTTTTACTTCAAGACAAACCTGAGGAAAATTCAGTTTTCCATATGGACCCTTTAAATTTCTTATCAGTTTATGGCACATTTAATGTTTTTCCCCCAATATGTTTCAGTGTGTCCTCTGTAGAAGATGTGTTCACATATCTCCACTCAGAAAATCAACAGAATACGTAATCTGACCGGGTGCTACAAACGTGCACACTTGCGTGCATCTGTAGTGTAATCCTGGTACTCACAGCATAGCGATGCCCCAGTGCTTTCCCGCCCGCTCTCCTGCGGCCTGGAAGCCGGAGAGGCCGATGAGAGCCACAGTCGGGGTGATAGTGAGGGGCCCGATATACTTCAGCAGAACACCCGGCAGACCCAGAGCCCCTATACACACCTCCACCAGAGAGGACACGATTATAGCCCCCTGAATCTACAGAGAGAGAGAGAGAGAGAGAGAGAGAGAGAGGGAGACGTGTAATCTATGAGGTTGCACGACTGCAGGCGTATAAAAAGTCAGCAGAGGTAAAGATTTACATTTCTAGGCCAACAAGAAAGGTGTAAAAAATTCCCTTAGACAGAGTGGAGGAGTGACAGATGAGCTGGAGGCTGAATGGAAGGAGGGGGAAAGAAAGAGAGAGAATACAAGAGAGACACTGAGACTTTGACTTTTCACCCCCTTTTATTGAAGCATTATTAATTAAAGGTTTTACATCCTACAGTAAAGAGCTAATAGTTATATTAATAATAATGAGGAGCCCCAAAGAAAAATCACCCATTCACAAAGATTCACCAGTGAAATGATATCACACCCAGATCACTGACAGATACAACACTTTCACCAGCTCACCACTTTCTCTCAAAACAGGAAAAGTTATGAGTGCAAAAAAAAGACATTCAACTCTAATGCGCGATTCCACTAGAGAGAGAGAGAGAGAGAAGAGAGAGAGAGAGAGAGAGAGAGGAGAGAGAGAAAGAATGAGAGAAAGAAAACGAGAAAGAGAGAGATAGAAAGAGAATGAGAGAAAGAGAGAGAGAAAGACAGATAGAGAAAGTGAGAAACAGAATGAGAGAAAGAACGGGAGAAAAAGAGAGAGAAACAGAGAATGAGAGAGAGAAAAGAAAAAGAATGAAGAATGAGAGAGAGAAAGAACGAGAAAGAGAAAGAGAATGAGAGAAACAAAGAGAATGAGAGAGAGAAAAGAAAAAGAATGAAGAATGAGAGAGAGAAAGAACGAGAAAGCGAGAAAGAGAATGGGAGAAAGAATGAGAAAGAGAGAGAGAGAGAGAGAGACAAAGAGAGAGAGACAGAGAGAGAGACAAAGAGAGAGAGACAGAGAGACAGAGAGAGAGAGACGTGTAATCTCATCTGGACTGTTTATACAAACACACTGAATCCAGTTGCACAACTGCTTATGAAAGCCTGGCGGCGCAGCAGAGAGGTGAAATGAAAAGGACGCTGCAAAAGGCCTCATAAGACATTCTTATAAAACACGTTTGGTAATGAATGATGATCACTAGGCTCTACTGAGCAAACGCTAAACTGAGCAGACTAAACAGAGAAAACTGGGTAAACACAACATAAAGAAGGAAATAAATACGTTCATTTCACGATGATCATTCAGCTCCTGCATTAAATGGTCAGTATCCCACAATAATTCCTTGCATTTTAACATTTGTGTGCTGTTCTGTATCAAAACCAGTTTACATCACCATTTTCCAACCTCATTTCTCAAGACTGATATATGTAAATGTCCTCTGGTTCTGATTGGCTGCCCTGTTCAGCAAGCAGTCCTGTCATCATTCAAAACAAACTGTTTATGCTCATTATTTTCCATATATGGGTCTATATGAGCCCCTACGAGGTTTTAATTGTAATATTTCTAGCCATATTAGTGCTTTTTGGTGCAGCAGCAAACCCCAAAACACTGCCTTCTGTTTCTGTTCTCACCCTCTCTATATACAGTTCTCTGTATAAACCCCCAAATGTGAAAGTCATGTGACTCACCTCTCGTATCCTGGGGTACCAGATGTGTTCTGTGTGCAGGAGCTCAGTGCTGTTCACAACTGGAACATCTGCAGATACAGACACGAGAATGAAACACAATCACAGCCAGGGACTATACTGCGTGCATGTGTGTGTGCAGGCCAGACGTTTGGAAGCACTAACGTTAGAGGTGGGCAATATGGCAAAAATATCATAACCACGATACTTCAAGACATTTTCACGATACGCATCACGATATTTCGTTTTCTGAGATTTAATATGTTGGAACAGACAAAATAGAACCTGTAGTGCCTCATATATAAAATACTATCACGTAAAATCAACAAAATAAAATAAAACTATGACTACAATTGTTTTATTCACTGTTTTACAAACTGTGCTGCACTAAATCCAATTAAACAGGCCTAATCAGACTCACTTGTTAATAAAACACATACTTAGTCATTGTTCTTTAAACACCGACAGTATCCATGATACACTAAGAAGAACTTATTGTGGCATAATTTATTACATAATTAATAAATATTGTTATATTGCTAATGTAGCAAAAAAATAAACATGAAAGCAGTGCACAGAGATTGAGACGGACACTGGTAAAAATAATAAAATAACAGACTTTGAGAATAAAGTCGTAAAATTTGGAGAATAAAATAATAAAGTGGAGGATAAAGTGGGCTAATTGTAGGGGGGCTGCCGTAATGCACTGGGGCCTCGGTTGCTGTACTGGCGAGGACAAAGACGCAGAGTGCGCCAGAGTTCCGCTCCTTCAGGATCGATCATTTTTATTATCGTTCTCAAGGTCTCCTGCGAAACTTCATGCCCTGTTCGAACGGCACGGAGAGGTAACCACTGATAGCCGTGGAGACGACCCTGCCTGCAATTCTCCTTCAACAACAGAGACAGCTTCCTCCGAGTCCGTCTGCCTCTTCATTCTAAAGTAACACAGTTTCCTGTTTCTTATACTATAACAATCTAGTGCTGGTGTGCAGGAGAGACAGGGAGACTGAGTACGTCTTTATGGGTGAATCGATATGAACGTCAAACTCTACCAACTCCTCAACGCCCCTCATTTAACACGAGGAGGTGCTGCCGTCCCTTTGCAAACCCTTTGGCCACAATACTGCGACCTTTTCTGGTATTAATACCACTTTGATGTTGTAATTCTACGCCTTTTTTCTCAAAATATTACAACTTTTTATCCAAATATTACAACTTTTACTCGAAATATCATACAGTACAACTTTTTATCTCTAAATAATTACGATTTTATTCTCGAAGTCTAATATTTTCCTTTTTTTAACAGTGGCCCTAAAATGCTGCTGTACAAAGATAGTAAATATTAATATGTTAATTAATAGAGGATAAAAAGGTTTGACTGTAGCAACACAGTCTTAAACCAAAACAGCCTGCTTAACTGTAAGGGATCAGGAGAGGTTGGATTCCGATCATGTAGAAATGATTTATGATTGTTTTTGTACATGTAACCACATACACGTCATACATGGACCTCAAGGGAAAAAGAGTAGGATATTGATATGGGTTAGGGGTGGGCGATATGGCTAAATGTCCGATCAGGATAGGAAGTTTTTTATGACACACGATACGTCATGACATTAATTTTTTCTGACATTAAGCTAGAACAGACAAAGGAAGCCTATGTTTTAAAAACTACCAAACTATGAAAAAGTAACAATTTATATTCAACATTTTAACACTTCTTAAAGAAGTCAGCATCTTTTCAATCAAACATGGAGTGAGGATGTGCTCAGAAAAGCAAACTGTGATATACTGTGATGTAATTTATCACGATAAAGATAAATATTGTCGTACTGCCCAGCTCTAATACGGGCCGTGTAAAATCCAAGCCCAGATAAATCCAAACGTAAAGCATTAAAGAACTTGGCCTGCAGCGTCTGTCAGGAAGTCTCACCTGTTGCATTACACTTCCATTTCTCCAGGGAGAGGATGGCTCTGGCTGGTGCGAGGAATGCGAAAGCACTGGCCTGGAACAGCGGAAGTCTGGAAAGACAAAACACGCAGACACACCCATTAATCTACTGGCACAAGGACATCAAGTACATCAACACTCGCATCCTCACGGACAAGCAAACACGCTTCGCTATCAACAACGGCGAGAACACGCAAAGACAACAAACAGAGAAAGACGTAACGATCAGAATCTCGACACGAGCAGAATCCTTCATCGGCTCCAATTCAAGTTTCAGCTCCACTCAATTGCATCCTGCAGTACCACAAACTGACCAGTAGATGATCCACATGCAACAGAGAAGTGCAGCCAGTGAGGGAGTGAAACTGCTGGAGACAGATGTGGCCTAAAAACGAGAACTTCTACATCCTCTTTTCTAGAACTGTCACTATCCCACAGAAAATGAGTTTAGATGGAGGGCCTGTAATCACAAAACTCACATCCCTTTTACAGTAATGACAGATTTTATGCAAGGATATATTAAAAATATCACCAGCACATGGTGCCCCCGGCCCCAAACCGGACGGAGGGAAGGGTTCAGCAGAACCTCCTAAGATAGAGAACTTAAAGAATTTTATTTTGCTCCCTTTACTTCTGTTAGATTTCCTGCTTTCATATTAAATAATAACAAGATAAAATCAGGTAAATACGGCTGTGACAGTTTCACAGCATCTGCCTGTCGACCTGCCTATTATTTCGTATTTTGAAAAGAAAATTCAGGAAAACGCAGGACAGTTTTTTTCAAAACAGTAAGGCAGCAGCTGAAAATGCAGGAGCAGGTAAGATGAGCATCACAGCAGCTGAATGCAGCCAGCAACACCGGATTTAGCTGCAACGCTCATAGCTTGCAGATGGTGCTGATAAGCCTGACTGATATCTCCAACTTTGATACTGATAAAACCGCTGATCATCAGCCAAAACATAATGTGCTGATAAGTAGCGCCTTTTTGGTCGCAGCATCACCGGGAATCAAGCCCACGATCTCCGCATTATCAATCGAAACCAACAACGCAAGGGAGTGACAACAAAACCACAAGGGCACTTTGTGCTGCAATGAGACGTCCAGCTTTCTTTCAGCACAAACACTGAGATTAAAGCCGTCTTCTGTCAAAACAGTTAAGAGCTGTGCGACCCTTCCTCTAAATTTCATTCTATAAGGATATTAACCGAAATGAGACCATTAACGAAGAAAATTCCTAGACTGCTGGACGTTTCAGGTAGTAATACCAGTGTTTTTTGTTTTATATAAATGTAAGGTGTAGCTAAAATATCCCAACCTATAAAAACACCCTCACATTTTGTAGATGTGTAGAGCTATTATCTTACAGATCCATAGCAAAGGTGGGCAACAGCAATATATTCTATCATTATCATGATAAATTATGTCACAACATGGACATCAAGAACACTGACTGACTAGGTTTAATTATAAAGTGACCATAATTAGGCCTGTTTAATAGGATTTAGTGCAGTGCTGTTTGCAACACATGAATAAAATCACTGTAGTTGTAGGTTTATTATTATTATTATTATTATTTTTATTATTATAATTATTATACTCTAGCATTTTGATACGACACTACAGGTTCTATTCAGTCCATTCCGACATATTAAATCTCAGAAAACCTAAATATTGTGAAGCATATTGTGTATCATGAAAATGTCTTGAAGTATTGTGATAATGTTTTGCCATATTGCCCGTAGATTGTTTCTGTTTTGACGCGTAAAGCCAATTTCATAACAGATGCAACATGGCACGGGTGGTCCGGACCACTCTGTGACATATTTCACACTGGACGCGACTGTCTGACGCCAAGGCAAAGCGGTTTCTGTTGATATTTCATGTAATATGAATGTCTTTATTGTCTGTTTATTGCTTAAATAAACTTTATATAGATGACAAAGAGATGAGCGATAAAAACCTGACTTGCTGCCGCGACTGTTAGCGTTCTCACTCTGTGATGCAGCTAAACAAAGAGAGGAGATAGATGCGGGTTCACAACATCAACCGTGTCAAAAGGGTTAAAACTACATTAGTTGATCTGTTTATTAGCCTAGACTGTATATTACAGCATAAATACTGCATTTCTTTACAGTTTCTGCCAGCGCGCATCAGAAATGACTCGAAGCACATTTCTGCACTTCATGCGCACATTGGCGACTCATGATGGACGCAGCTGCAAAAGGCTACCTTGCTATAGCAGAGTATTGTGTGTGGTGAGACGCAGAATGTGGTACGATTTACCACGTCTTTTGTGAAATGGGCGTTAGACAGCTGTGTCTCTTGAGAACCCGAGGTGAATCACCACCTGTTTAACTATATGACAGCAGGGTTCCCGATTGGCGCAACCGTCTCAGCGTTGGCCCCATCACCAAGAGATGGTGAGTTCGATCCCTGGTGACGCTACAGCCGTCCGTAGCCGGGAGTCCAAGAGAGCACAATTGGCCTCGCTCTCTCTGGGTGGGTAGGATGGCCCTGCCTCTCCTCCAAACACTCAGTGCAATGCCAGTCAGCACAGGCGTCTGTTAGCTGACTTAACAGATCTGGCGGTTGGCGCTTTCCTCTGAGTGCGATCGGCTGTCCAGTGACAGTTAGTGGCTCTTCACAGGTCTTGGAGGAAGCCTGTGCTAGTCTTCACCCTCGTAGTGCTGGTGGTATCACGTGACTGGGGGAGTCCTAACTAGTGGCTGGAATTGGAAAATAGAGAAACTTGGGGGGAAAATCTGGAAAATGTGAACACAAAACAAGACAAAGTCAAATTCCTGCCAGAAAATAAAAGCTAATTAAAGCCCACTGCTTGCAGTTGTGGGGCTGCCAAGGACCGAGCCCAGTAATTACCATTCTGATGTGAATGCAACAGGACACAGCAGGACCTACGTGCTAGTTAGCAGTGCTATCTCGAAATTTACAAAAAGATGTTCTGTTCATCCACGTGAAAGTGCCAAAAACAACGTTTTTAAACAACCTTCAACTTTGACAATGTTTTCAAAAACGTTTTTTAGTGACCAGAAATGCCTTTTCCCTGCGGATGTCATGGCAAAATAAAGTAGAAAAAAAATCTAAGTGATGTAAACCTGGTTTACGCTCCATCATCGTGCTGCTGTCTGTAATGAGGGCTTGTCTTTCAGTGAAACTGTAACTGTTCTGTCGCAGGTCGGAAGATCTGGTGGACAGTTCGACAGTTTGGGTTCTTTGAAGTTCTGAATGGTGAAACTGAGGTGAAATCAGGTAACCCAGCTGTGCACACACACCTCCATATGTAAACAAACAGGAACGCAAACAGGCCACACACACACACACACACACACACACACACACACACACACACACACTCTTGCTTTCCTAGAAGAAGGAGGCCAGAGTGCACTCACCTCAGTGACTCATCAAATCTCACTCACGCCACCTAACCACCTCTCCCTCTCCCTCTCCCTCTCCTCATCTACTCATTTCCTCTTTTTTCAGAGCTCTGAGTCACATCTCCCTGGAGAGGGCGCGTGTGTGACGTCAGTGGAGATCATGTGAGCTGTTCTGACATCAGACAGTTGGTTTCTGAGGGCAGGCTGGATAATGAGCAAAGACCATCGAACTCGGCCTGCAGCCTCACACAAATCAGCAGAGTCTGGGGTTAAACACGATGACCAGACTTCTCAGAAGATCATTTTTTCATATTGAAACAACAAAAGTCAAACACACAGACTCCAATCTGCCCATTCAGAATGCAAATCAAATGCAAACTACAATCAATACGTCCTTAATAAGCCTCGGGCCTCACAATGAATCAATTTCATTACGATTCTTCAGGAAATGAATCATGAATCTGAAGTTGCACCATCTCCCTACTCTCTACACAGCGCACCGTATGGCAGAGGTGGGCGATAATTATTTTTATCTGATGTGAATATTTGGAATGGACAAAAATACAAATAAACGTGTCATATAATGCATTTATTCAGTATTCCTAATTGTTCTCTGATGTCTACATAGAAGGTCTGCGGCCTGACTTTGGTCAGGGTAAAAAATGTCTAGTTGCAGTTTTACATGCCCATTTTAAACCCCATGATTTGACCCTAGAATGAAACGAGCCGTTTTCCCCTTTTTTGGGGGGGGCTCACGAATATTCTGACGAGCTCTGCTCTGACTGGCTGGTTCACAGTGACATGTCGAAATAAACACAGGGAGGAAAATAACATGTAAAATAAAACTCTGCTGATCGTTCAACACAGTTTACCAATAAATGGTCTTAAATGCTGGAGTTAATGTAGAACTGCTAATTCACCCTTTAACCCTGAAGGTTGGTGTGCAGACTACTGGTCACCATAGCAACACAGACTCGATCAATTGGAGACAAATTGACTTATTTGCATTTATAAATCACTCCAGCTGGTTTCCTGATATGTTTAAAAAGTCGAAAAGCTGAAGTTGCTACTCTTTCGCCAGCTTCTCGTACTAATTCTCCCGTTTCACCGCAAATGGTTCCGCAGTTACATTCTGGCACCTCAGGCACCATTTAAGGTGGAACGGGAGAATCTGAACAAGAAGGAACTTCAGCCTCGTAAAAAATCTAAAGTTGAGAAGCATTTTACAAGCAACTATTCCACTTTTGAGGAAAGTTTCCTGCCAGAGATGCGAGAAAAGCAGCTATAGCTGAGCTTTGGGCTCCCAAAGTGGTTTGATTTTTGTTTAAAGGACAAAATGGCTCTTCTTAACATTTGGGTTGCGACCCCTGAACTATGCCAAGTAGCCGACAGCTCACACACAGCACTAAACCCAGTTTAGCAAATTCCGATATGACTCTCGATCCCTCAAACACACAGTAGTGGAACTCAGACTATAAAACATTTGTATTTTTGTGCTCAAAAAACAGCCAGAAGTTTTTTTATTTTGAGCTAAATATTTGTGCATAGCTAAATGAACATTATTATACCTCAGTACAATCAATGAAAAGCCAAATCTGCCACTACCTTTAAATTTGAGACCCCTAGGAATTATATAACTACATTCAAACAGTACAGTAAGTGTGGTACTGCAGCCTGGTGGAGAACCCACACTGAGAGGTGCAGAGAGCACCGTCTCACTCTGTCTTCCTCTGCTGATCTGTTACGAAACAGTGCTGTCCTTGTCCTGCTGTGTGTGTGTGTGTGTGTGTGTGTGTGTGTGTGTGTGTGTGTGTGTTACTGAAACAGAGAGAAGGTTCTTCAAACACAACACACCCCGGGGAGAGACAGACAAACAGAGAGACAGCCTTCATCTCAGTGTCACGGAAAAAGAGAACGAAGCCAAAAGCAACGAGCTTATCAGAGAGAGGCTGGGAAAACTGGGAGATATTAAAGAGGAATATTGTCTATCGGACCTCTCAGACCTCGCAGCCTCTCCGTTAGCGCTCTTTATTAAACGCCGCGTGTGATCTGAGAGGTCGCACAACTGCAGGCATATAAAAAGCGCTAATGAAAGGAAACTTCACCTCAACTCAGCTCCACAGTTAGTACTGACACTAAAGTCTGCACATCATTCGGGTTTTACACTGGAACACATTCGTACTTTATCTGTTTACATTTTTATATATTTTTAATAATTTTCTTGCCTCACTATCACCAACATTTTTAATGTATAAAAATAGTACAGGAGGGAGAGAGAAAGAAAGAAAGAGAGAGAGAAAGAAAGAAAAAGAAAAAGAGAGAGAGAGAGAGAGAGAGAGAGAGAGAGAGAGAGAGAGAGAGAGGCCGACAACACAAATAAAATGAACTAAGAGGAATAAAGAAAGACAGAAACCCTGAAAAAAGAAAGAACAAGCAAGAGTGAGTGTGGGAGAGAGAACAGGATAGAGACAGAGAGGGAAAGAGAAAGAAACAGACAGAGAGAGAGAGAGAAAGAGGGAGAGAAAGAGACAGCAGAGAAAGAGAGAGAGAGAGAGAGATTTGAGAAAGAGAAAGAGAGACAGCAGAGAAAGAAAAAGAGAGAGACAGAAGAGAAAGAGAGACAGGCGGAGACAGAGAAAGAGAGAGAGAGAGAGAGAGAGAGAGAGAGAGAGACAGAGAGAGAGACAGAGAGGAAGAGAGGAAGAGAATGAGACAGAAAGATGGGGGTTGGGCTGGTAAAGTGCTTAAGTATGAAACAGCAGATGCTGACCAACGTAAACTTAAGCTGAACACACACAGTTTTATTACTCCACTCAGCAGTTAAAGTGTGTGTGTGTGTGCGGATGTGTTTGTGTGTGTGTGTGTGTGGTTTGTGTGTGTGTCTGTGTTATAGGAGCACATGAGGCCGTCACACAACTCAACCAGCACTGATCTAAAGTGCAGAGTCACTGTTTCGGTCTTTAACTCTGATTAAAGCGCATAAAGGAAACTGTCCATCCACCATTCTGACCCCTGCAGCGTCCGCCTGAGGAACCTCATCAAAAACGACTGAGAATTTTAATTACATGCCATTGTTCATCAAAATGAACAACCATTCTGTTAATTATTTTAATAAAAGCGAATTACAGAACCAAAAAAATTCACTGGACTTGCCAAGACAAATTACCACTCACCTTTACTGACCGCCTCGCTGAGTCACGAGGACGAGGCCTTAGCATTAGCTACAAACCTTAACTAGCCTTATTTGGCCTTAACTGGGAGACATTATGTGTAGTTTCACTGGTGGCTTTGGACAGTAAATAAAATTGCTATATTAGCTACATGGTGACCCCTGGTTCGTATCACCACCACTTTAAAGAAATCAGAGTCTGTAATAAACCATTTCACATCAAACCACTCCGAATGACTCTGTTTACATCCCAACCACTGAATTATTCAGAAATTTTGAAAAGTTGGCGGAATTTCTCTGTAACTAATGCACTATTTACTCATTAGATTTGTATTTTTTCAGATTAAACATTAAAGTTGCCAACAATGTAGATTTACAAACAATATGTGGTCAAAATAATAAAACTACTGTCCCTCACAGCCACTCCAAACATTCACAATGCAATATTAGATGAAATGTAATAGATAATAAACTATTAAAAATGATAGACTGAATGTCTTTTTGGTGAGGATGAGGTTCTGCTCGTGCTTGTTAAAATATCATGCAGATAATGTTAAATAAATACAACTCTATTTCCAAAAAAGGACGCTGTGCAAAATGTAATAAAAAAACACTTTTTTAACACTTGATATGTTTTCTTTGTGGTATTTTCCTTTAAAATATGGTTTACATGTTTTGCATATCATTGCATTCTATTATTATTTACATTCTGCACAGCGTCCCAACTTTTTTGGAAATGGGGTTGTAAAAGAATACAGTTTTACAGTTAGTAGTTCTTTGTTCTGTCTTTTAGATAAATGAATATGCTGTTCTGCTGTTTTGTAACCTTGATTTTTTTCCCCCTCTGGAACAGGAATGCGCACACACACACACACACACACACACACACACACACACAGACACACACACACACACACAGACACACAGACACACAGACACACTCCTACGTGTGCCTCCACAGAAGCAGGCACGTACCAGCACACTCTCACACACGTACATACTCTACTCTCTCACTCACCGGCAGCCGATGGTGGTCTGCAGCAGGGTGGTGATGCCCACACAGAAGAAGATAGTGCCGATAAGCTGGCTCGTCGCCCACTGGTCAAATCCCACACACATAGCCTCGGCCAACAGGAAGGGCACAGCGATGGTTCCGCTGAAGCACGTCAGGTAGTGCTGGACAGACGGATGGACACACAGTTAAAGACACCAGTGTGAGTGAGTCTGAGCAGCCAGTTGTTATTATTCATGAATTAATGAAACATTAGTTCTACTCTAAATGATAGAATATACGTCACAAGTCATCAAAAAAACACAGCTTTTATTAAAAACATAAAAGCTGAACTTTTGGTTACTGACGTCAACATGCAGTCATACACAAGCACAGTGAAACACCCCACAAAGACTGGAATACAGGTTAGAGTGTGTGAGAGAGGTAGAAGAGCGAGTGAGCAAGAAAACGCTGGTCAATTTCAGCACAAATTCACTGAGTATTCGCTAAAATGAGTAGTTACAGCTGAACCTCATAAGCAAATTCAGGGACAACGTGTCAGGCTTGTGGTTGTTTGTGTTTAGACGTGTTTTTTTGAGCAATTAAAAGGAACCAAACTGTTCTGACTTTGTAGTAAAACTAGAAAAGAACAGACTGACCTACAGGACTAAAGGCTTCTTTCTGAGGTTACGATGTCTGAGGTTACGATGTCTGAGGTTACGATGTCTGAGGTTACGATGTCTGAGGTTTAGGTTCAGAACATTGTTACCACATACAGATACTTGTATATATTTAAAACCACAACCATATTGTTATTATTATTAATATTATTATTACATACACTGGTGGTCACCAACCCTCTTAAGATCTACCTTCCAGCAGGTTCCTCCAACCCAAATCTAACACACTTCATGCAGCTAATAAAGGACGACAGAAGGAAAAAAAAAAACTGACAAGGGCTGAAGCTACAGTCTGCAGGAAGATAGATCTCCATGTGCTGCTGACCTACAAATTAACATATAGGTTCATTAATTTTTAATTAAATGTTTGTTTGCATTTATTCTAATAATATATAGTGTTGTTTGCGGGCAAAAACTAGGTCCAATTTTTTTGCACAGTACTATATATATATATATATATATATATATATATATCACATATACATATATATATATATATAGCCTATGTGTTGTATTACAAAGGTTACAATTACAACATACAGGTGATGATATATACTCTATATAAATTTGGGACACAGGTATGCCCTCACATCCCAACAGTGTTTTGAAAAAGTGTGTGTGTGTGTGTGTGTGTGTGTGTGTGTGTGTGTGTGTGTGGTACGTAGCCCTGGCAGTGTTGAGGCCATCACACAGACAGTGCTTATCTACAGACACCGCGTCCTGTTTTAAAGACTTCAGCCGTCTGCAGCAGGTCTGTGTAGTGAGTCTATCAGATGTGTCTGAGTGTTATAAAGCATCAGAGCATGCTGTGTGTTTGTACCTGTAAACCCAGGAACACACACAGATACCAGGGCGGGGTGTCTTCTATGGTGTAGATCATGTCCATTCTGCGTGCATCTGAGCTCTCTGTACTGTCCACTGTGTCTGACAAGGAGCACTAAAACAGAGAAAACACAAACAGAGTCAGGCGGAGGCTGCAGCTTTTTCATGGCTGCTGTTTCTATGGTAGCCACTCTTTATTCTGTTTTTTAACCACAGCCACAAAACTCACACACAGTCTCACACAGTACTGCAAACTAGTCAGTAAACAACAACAAACATTGCCTGAGTGTATGTATATATATATATATATATATATATATATATATATATATATATATATATATATATATATATATATATATATATATATACATACATACATATATACATACATATATATACACACACACATATATGTTTTTTTTTCCCCACAACTCCAAAGTTCAGTCTTAGAAGCTGGTTGTATTTTCTGCTTCTCCTCATCCAACTAATCAGTCCATAAATCCTTGCTGTGCAGTGTTTTAGTGCAAATTCTCTACCTTACTTTTCTTTCTCTAAAGTCAGCTTTTTGTTTTCCAGCTTCTTGTTAGAATCTTCCCATTTCACCTTAAATGTTGCGGCAGTTACATTCTGGCTAGCGAAGAAAAAGGCTGACTTCAGCCTCGTTAAAAATCAAACGTTTAAAGAAATTTGACAAGAAATTACTCCTCTTCTGCGGAAATGTTTCCTGACAGAGAACTGAGAAAAGCAGCTATAGGTGAGCTAAAGATTAAAGCAGAGCAAAGTAAGTCTGCGTTTTCCATTATATTACATTGTTAGCCCATACCAGTCCATTAGCACATACAGAGACACATTTACAGACACAATGGTAAAACTGACTTAAAATGGCGGTAGGATTTTTGGTGGGTGTTGGGTATCCAACCCCTAGTTCAGAGTAAAGGCAGGGACAGTGAGAGTCCTTTAGGATTCTCTTTACTCTGATTGGCCGTTTTTAAATAAAGAAATTCCCTTGTACTTTCCAGTTGGCCCAGGTTTGTGTGATTTTGAGAGAGTATATCAGAAGTAAAGTACTGAGCAGTGAGATTGTTTTTTCAGGATTCTGTAAGTAAAGAAATCTCATTACAGTTTCAAAGACAGTAATTCGTCAATTGTAATGATTACATGTGAGATTTTTTAGTAAACCTCATATCTAGCAAAATGTTAGCGCTGCTTGTGCTCGCCGTGGAACCGATCCAGCGGATCGTTCCCTTTATATTTTGGTTCTGCACAAATCTGGACAGATCCTGGGCAGCCTTCTTCAATACAACGTCTGCAGTCCTTGAATATTAAACCTGAATCCTTGTCCACTGTTGGTCATTTTGGTGTATCCGCTGAGCCTCCCCCGTAAGCCATACGAGATGGGAACTACTGTGTTTGCTCTGCTCTTAACCAGGAGAAGAATTCGTCATCATCCTCACCTCCCTCACACTCTGCTTGGCTGCAGGTTTTAGTGTTCTTCCTCAGCCTCGAGGAAACTACACTCACTCAGAGAGGTGTGTCTACTGGTTTGATCTATTGGTGTGTCTGTTTGTTTGTTGACAACTGTAACATATTGGGTAACAAACAAAATAAATAAACCAAAAAAACTTTGATGAGTGTGTGAAGGAAAAAGAATTCTGCATTTTTCAGTGCTTTCCAAACTCACTGGCCCAAGCATAGAGCCCTGTGGAACCCCACTACAGTTGAGTGCTGCTGGTCAAAGTCAGCATGCATATAATTATGTGTATAATTGTGTTTTATATTGCCTCTGCTATTCTTCAGGCTCTGTTTCAGCGAGGCGAGGCTCAGAAATACAGACAGTGGGTCTACGAGTTGGAGTTCTCTTGAGCGCCTCCTCTGGTGAAGTACCACCACCTATGGGGAATTTCACCTCAATAACTCTGACATGTGCCAGATACATGCATCACCACAACAATGGAGTCAATAAAGATGACGCACACTGTAGTGAGTGTACTCCAGCTCCCAGGTTTAGGAGATTATATTACTACCATTTTATGTTTTGGCAAGATCACCATTACAATCCCTCAGACTTTTACCCTCAGAAATCAGATAAAGACAAAGACATAACTCTAAACAATAAAGAATACCCTTTTCATTTCGCCACAGATGAGACTGGATCACAGGCTAAGACTTTAATAATGAATACAGAAAGCAAGTACACTGGGGGGGGGGAAGAAAAAAGGCTTCACAGTGCTCACATAACCCATTAACCTTGTTTCTCTCTCTCTCTCTCTCTCTCTGTCTGCCTGAGTGTCTCTCTCTCTCTCGCAGTAAAAGTGCAGAGTCACAATGACTAGGAAGTGCTTGATATTCAGAGACAAGAGGAGGATTAAAGAGGGGTGAGAGCAGAATATCCACTCAAATTTAATCTAGAGAGAGAGAGAGAGAGAGAGAGAGAGAGAGAGAGAGAAAAGCAGAGAGAGAGAGAGGGAGAGAGAGGGAGAGAGAGAGAAGCAGAGAGAGAGAGAAGCAGAGAGAGAGAGAGAAGCAGAGAAAGAGAGAAGCAGAGAGAGGCAAAGAGAGAGAGAGGCAGAGAAAGAAAAAGAGAGAGAGAGGCAGAGAAAGAGAGAGAGAGAGAGAGAGAAGCAGAGAAAGAGAGAAAGAGAGAGAGAGAGAGAGAGAGAGAGAGAAGCAGAGAAAGAGAGAAAGAGAGAGAGAGAGAGAGATGCAGAGAAAGAGAGAGAGAGAGGGAGAGAGACACCCCATCAATGACCTACTTGAGTAAAAACGTGAAAAAAGTCTATAAATGTTTCATTCTCAGCTGATTCACCCAACCGAGCACAGTAGCAGCTCTGTGACGGCTCTGTGAGCCTCAGTGAATCACTCAGAAATCAGAAATGTGTCACCAACAAACAACAAGAACAAACATTTACACTAGAAGACTTTGCAACTGAAGAAGTCTCAGTATCAACGAAACCAACATGAAGGTTTTAAATGAGCAACATTTATCACTATAATGTATAAATACATGTATTTAAATACAATAAATTATATATCATACATTTTTAGTTTCAGTTATTCTGCTTCTAAACTGGGGAACTCGATTCCACCTCTTATTAGACAGTCAATCTCAGTGCTCGTTTTAAGAAGCATCTAAAACCGTCTCTCTTTAACTCAGCATTTAATTAAGACTCTACATCTTTTTGGTATTTATCTTTTAATTTGATCTGTGTCTTATATTGTCTTGTAAGATTAGTACTTTCTTGTACTACCTGTCTGTAAAGCACTTCGAGCTGCCAACAGCATGAAAAGTGCCGTATAAATAAAGATTATTACTTATTATTATCATTATTATTATTATTCATGGTTGGTATAGTGTAGCCCTCTATGCTGTAGAGTGGGGTTCAACCCCCCACCTGGGCCCTTACACTATACTAATAAGAGTCCTTGGGCAAGACTCCTAACGCTACCTTCACCTACATGTGTAAAGTGATCTCGTAAGTCACTCTGGATAAGAGCTTCTGCCAAATGCCTTAAATGTATTAATAATAATTAAACTTAATAATCTGTAATTATGTTATGTATTACTGTGTTTTCCACAGACTCAGTGAACATGTTAGAAACACTAATGTGCAAGAACTCAAACTCATTGTTGCTGTGTGTGTGTGGTAGCTAGGTGATTAAGCCTGACGGAGGAACTGTTTATTGCGATTATTATAAATATATAACGATAAGTGCACATCTGAACGGCTCACCTTATCTGTGGCCTGGCGCTCTTTAGTGTAGATGGCCATGAGCTCAGTGTCCTCTGTGTCCTGATCTCCAGGAGCTGGAGCCCCCCCGTTAACCACCACCTAACACACACACACACACACACACACACACACACACACACACACACACACACACCAGAACAGATTGTGTCATTATGGCTCTGCTATAAAAAGAAAGAATCTATCAAACTAAGCATATGAGACAGTAACATTACTAATCATGATCAATTCATTCACTTGATCTCCTTTCACACCTACATTTGGTGTCCAGTTTAGCATTTAGTGGCCAGTCAGACACATCCATCCTTATCCACTCAGACGCCTCCCATTTACTCCCCTTTCATTAAGAGTGGAAGGTCTGCTCTGCTCACATACACTGTTACTGAAGCACCGTTAGGATGGGGCTGATTTAACATGGAGGTGTAATGAAACTGCAGCACATGTCAATGTTTATTAACGATTCACACAGGATAAGAGTGCAAATTACAGAGTAGTTCACTTTGTAGCACAGGATAAATATAATCTGGGTTATTTCTACTGTTTATAGCACAAGATTAATATAGTCTGGGTTATTTCTACTGTTCACGGTACAGCACAGAGTTAATATAACCTGGGTTATTTCTGCTGTTCACTTTATAGAACAGGATTAATATAACCTGGGTCTACCGTTCACTTTAAATCACAGCATTAATACATCCTGGGTTATTCTACCGTTCACTTTATAGCACAGGATTGATATAACCCCAGGTATATTAATCCTGTGCTATAAAGTGAACAGTAAAAATAACCCAGGTTATATTAATATTGTGCTATAAAATAAACAGTAAAAATAACCCAGGCTATATTAATCCTGTGCTATAAAGTGAACAGTAGAATAATAAGAAGAGCACAGGATTAATATAATCTGGGTTATTTCTACAATTCACTTTATAGCTCTGGATTAATATAACCTGGGTTATTTCTGCTGTTCACTTTGTATAACAGGATTAATATAACCTGGATTTATTTCTGCTGTTCACTTTCTAGCACAGGATTAAAATAACCTGGGTTATTACTACTCTTTGCTTTATAGCACAGGACTAATATAATCTTGGTTATTTCTTCTGTTCAATTTCTAGCACAGGATAAATATAACCTGGGTTATTTCTGCTGTTCACATTATAGCACAGGATTAATATAACATGGATTATTTCTACTGTAGGATTAATATTTGTGGAAACTACAAAATGGCAAAAAAGAGTAACAGGTATCAATTTCAGGTGTTGTAAACCTAATAAATCTAATAAGTCTGGACTTAACAGTTTCACTGTTTATAGCTTATAAGTTATATATCATATATTAATTATATAGTTTATATTGTTAATAACCTGTATAGTTCATATCTTACAGTTCTGGAATATCACTACTTTTCACGTCACTTCACAGTCTTTTGTTTTGGTATAACATTAGTATTTCTCTGAACACACCTGTGCAGTTCTGAAAGATTTAATAATCTGTAGAATCAAAATACTTTTATGATATAAAAGACAGAAAACAACTGTATCTTGGTATCAGAAGTGAAACTTGTATCAAACTTGAAAATATTTAATCACCACACTGTTAGAGCGAAAACACGACCCAAGCACGGTGGAGTCGAGGCCTGGTTTAAAGTTATGCTTATAAAATTGATGGTTCGGCTTCTGAAATCTGTCTGATTGCTGACATCAGCTGAATTATTCGTTATAAGTTATAAAGACCATTGTGCTGTTTGCGGTATAATTTCCGTTGCTTAGCAACCACAGCCTACTGTTAACGAACTACATTGTTTGGCAGGAGAATTGTTTGCTACAATTATCTGCTTTATGCGAGCCTAACAAACATTATCTGTGGTAAAATCACTGTAATGCACACCCTCTTGTGGCTTACTGCTTTATTTAAACCTGTCTGACCATATAATTAAGCTACAATATAACTGTGAAACAAATAACTTTGGAAAACGAGCTCAGATTCCAACTGTCCTGCCATTCGACACAGTACGTGCAGAAAAGCACCAGTAATCACAGGTTACAGGTACGGCTTCGGACTCTAATAAAATAAGGAGTCATAATTCCGCCAGAACGCGATGGGGAGCAGAAACCACGAGCCAAAAGCTCCCCCTGAGCGGTGAGGTGGAACGAGGAAACAGACGAGGAGGAAAAGCCTGTAGCTGAGGAATGTGAGTGCGAGAGTTCAGCTGAGGTCGAGGAAACCTTCAGGCACGATTACGAAACGAGATTAAGACAGAAATGAGGCAAAACACCAAAACGACACAATTAAGAATAAAAAAAACTGAGAAAAAAAATCTGAATGAGGGATTAAAAGCAGGTGTTTCTAAACTGTGGAGAAACGTTTCTGTACCTGACTAGACACAGTCGCATGCAAAAGTTCGGGCACCCCTGGTTTAAGTACATTTTGTCGATCCCAAAAAATAAATAAATAAAAAATAAAAAATAAAAAACACACACACACATCCTCTATGGTGAACACATTTCCATGCACAAATTCTAATTATTTGCTGAATTCAACGTTTTAGAGAAGAAAAAAAAATGTGGCTCTGCAAAAAATGAAATTTTGCACGAAAATCACCAGAAAAGCATCATATTTCAGTGTGTTCTCTGTAGAGGATGTGTTCACTTATTGTCATGCAAACAAGATATGAAATTTGACAAGGAGTGTTTTAACTTTTGCATACGACTGTATTAGGACTTCAAAAAATGCATCAGTGTAGTGCTGAGTGATAGACCTCTTACTCCAATATACCACAACATTGACACACTGTGATACGGCTTTTAAGCTGTGATATATTCAGTAGATCCCAAACAATATAAAGTTGTATACAAAAGTTTGAACATACTGGGAAAAGTTTGTTTTGCTGACTTTCTCTACAGGAAAAGAGCGAATCTACACACGTCTTGGGTTTTCTGGTCAAAAGCTTTTTTTTTTTAGGGACTATTTTGCCTCACAACACCCTGCATGTACATCTCCACCCCTAAAGTGCTAAGGCCGAAATCTGATTTCAAAACTATCATAAAACAATGTCAGGCCTAAGGCTAACCATTTCAGCTGATAACTTTCTGTGAGGGAGCTTTTAGAGGTGGACGTCTGGTTCCTATCACCACCACTGTAAAAAATTCTGACTAGGTTTCTCTAGAATCAAGCATTTCACACCAAACCACTCTGAATGACAGTTGACATCTTATCCATTTAATTATGTGCAAATTTTGAAAAACTGGTGTAATTCTCCTTTACTTCACCTTTCGCTTTATGAAATCACAAGCAAATGCTGAGGTGCTCAGAGCTTAGTACATCCTGCCCACATATTTGGTCTGTTTCCCTTTTACATAACCCTGATCTGGGTCACGACACAGTTCTGACTCATAAGCAAAGTAACCAAATCTGTCTCACTCAGACTGACCGCCAAATTAAAACACAGCCCAGCAGTGAAGCAACACGTGGCAGATTATGTGCATTTGTGTCGCAATAAAAAGAAACAAACATGCTGCATTCGACTCCATTAGACTGTATCAGACGCTGTATTAGGTTTCCATCCGCACTGCTCTGCTTTTACTGATGCACAGATTATACCAACATGTCTCACTGTGTGCATCAGATTTCATATTAGGAACATTCAATAACCATTCGGGCTAAACAAACACACCATCTTTATCTTACACAATCGGATATTTCGACTACTAATATGCTCATTTTGAATGCGTACTGATTCACTGCAGGTGAGCTCGTTTACCCTGAAGACTGATTCTAATTTGCATATGTAAATGATGTCTTTAAATGCAATTTCTTTAAAGTGGTTTCTCTGCTTGTGAAGCCGGACTAATCACAGCCATCCACCTCCACACTATGGGTTTAAATTAGGGCTGTAGGAGTTCACGAGTTAAAGGGAAACTCCACCGATTGTGCAAAATTACTACATCATTCAGTGGTTTAGATGTAAACAAAGTCGTTCAGAGTGGTTTGGATGTGAAATGAGCCTTTCTAGAGTCGGAACTGTCCACCATTGTAGTACTAGGAACCAGACGTCCGAAGCATTTAATGGCTCTGAAAGCTGCATCCCATTAGGTTACTACACATTGCTTGATACCCGAGACAGTGTTTTGTGATAGTTGTTACAAAGTTTTGAGCTAACACACTCTTGTTGTTACTAACACCCGTTTAACACAGCTAACGCCAACAGCAGCTTCTGTTTACGGTTTATTTTTACAGTTTTCATAACTATTTTGGAAGTAGATCCATAGAAGAAGACAGAGCCAACGCAGAGCAGCCCAGAGCGAATGGAAACTGGTCGGAACTACTTGCTCTGCTTACCAGTTTATGAGGTCGAACAGCGAGGCAGATAGTTATTTTATTGCAACGTAATATTTGCTAACGACAGCTAATTTGTTTCACTCACAAGCGTTTCTTAGCTTGATTCCAGTTTCTGTGGTGGAAAATAAAACAGAGGGAATTTTCTTTCACAGTCGGCATTTGAAGAAATACGCTTTGCATTTTTCTCCCGCTGGTCTTCAGTAAGTCTGTCTTTGTCGGTGAAGTGGTTGCTACAAACCCCAAATTTGCAGAGTTGTTCAACTTCGGTGTTTGTGTGTAGCTTCAAAACATTTAGCCACAACTTCAGGATTTCTGGGACTGGTACTGGCAACCGGAAAACAAACGCACCGCACTGTATTTTCTCCATTAGTTTATGCATCCTGGTCCAGCGCAGTTCAACACTATACTGAACCATTACCTAGCAAAGTGCAGCTGTGATCTGTCGCAGCTCCGCTCATTAATTAGTCACTCGCATAACCGTGTGACGCAACGCCGCCGACCCAAACAACACAAAACGCCTGCAGGGCGGAGGGGCACCGGCAGGGCGTTGTAAGGAAAAAAATAGTACCCAAGAAAATGCATTTTTTCAAATTTAGCAGTATTTTACCTTTATTAGTGTGATATAAAGGTATATAGATATAACCTGTGAGACACATGCAAGTTCACTGGTCATCTCGGATGGCAAATAAAATGGTGATGTTTGTATTATAGGCGCACAGACGTCTGGTTCCTAATACTACAATGGGGAAAAATTCTGACTCTAAATTTCTCTAGAAAGGCTCATTTCACACCGAACCACTCTGAATGATTTTGTTTGCATCTAAACCTTTGAATGATTAAGTAATTTTGCAAAATCGGTTGAGTTCCCCTTTATCAGGCTAATAAGACAGATCATTCATATTATCATCTTTTAACGCCACTGTTGTTTTACTAATGCGTACAGGGACTGGGGTGACTGTTCAGTGTGCTGGTACTGAAATACTGAAACTATTCAGCCACTTCTTACATTTCATCACAGCAAGATGGAGAAAAATACAGAGCAACGATTCAGGGAAACGTCGATTTTTTGTTTTAACAGAAAGTTTTGTTCGTATTCACAACTCTGAGTCATCAACTTTTACGGTTTCTCAAATATCCAAATTAGTCAGAATGCACATCCCTAATTCGGACCTCACAGGTAGAGGTCTAGCTCACGGTCGGACTCACGGGGATGGGGTAGAAGTTGGCGCTGTGCTTGTTCCCCTCCTCATATTTGCCTGGCTCTGCGGTGGAGTCCATGGATTTGCAGGTGGTGTTCTTCCCCACGCCCATTCCTCCTCTCCACTCCTCCTCCTGGGCACTCCTCCTCCACACGCTCACTCACTGGCAAAGACCCACTGATGCTGCACTCTTTAGCACCCTCACATGGTCCAGTGGTCAGCCAGCAAGTTCATCTGCAGAAAACAGACACAAATGTTACTGGAGATCTTTATTTATGTTGAGCAAATAAACGAATGCATACATGTGGAAAATAAACGAAAGCCGAATATATAAGTTTGAGGTGTGAGTCCGAGTCGAGTCTCGAGTCTGAGGTGCGAGTCCCAAGTCAAGTCGTGTGTCTCTGAGGTGCAAGTCCGAGTGGAGTCCCTGAGGTGCGAGTCCGAGTCAAGTCTTGAATCTTTGAGGTGCGAGTCCGAGTCAAGTGTAGTGTTTTTGAGGTGTGAGTCACAGCCAAGTCTTAAGTCTCTGACATGCAAGTCCGAGTCCAGTCTCGAGTCATTGAGATATGAGTCCTAGTCTCGAGTCTTTTGAGGTGCAAGTCCAGGTTAAGTCTCAAGTCTCTGAGGTGCAAGTCAAAGTTGAGTCTTGAGTCTCTGAGGTGCAAGTCTGACTCAAATCTGCAGTCTCTGAGACATCTTTGATGTGTGATTCTGGGTCAAGTTATAACTTGTCTTTGACTCGCACCTCTGAGATTCAAAAAATTTAAAGCTGAGACTCGACTCGGCCCGTCGTTCCAACTTGCAAAGCTCTGATAAAATAAATATGAATGGACGCTTCATAAAAATACGTCTACAAGTGTCTTGATGTTAGATGTCATATTTAATGTTATATTGATGTCATATTTAATGTTATATTGATGTCATATTTAATGTTATATTGATGTCATATTTAATGTTATACTGATGTCATTTTTAATGTTATATTGATGTTATATTGATGTTATATTGATGTCATATTTATTGTCATATTGATGTCATATCTATTGTTATACTGATGTCATATTGATGTCATATCTATTGTTATACTGATGTCATATTTAATGTTATATTGATGTCATTTTTAATGTTATATTGATGTTATATTGATGTTATACTGATGTCATAATTAATGTTATATTGATGTCATATTTAATGTTATATTGATGCTATATTGATGTCATATTGATGTTATATTGATGTCATATTTAATGTTATATTGATGTCATATTTAATGTTATATTGATGCTATATTGATGTCATATTGATGTTATATTGATGTTATATTGATGTTATATTTAATGTTATATTGATGTCATATTTAATGTTATTTTGATGTCATATTTAATGTTGTGATATTGATGTCATATTTAATGCTATATTGATGTCATATTTAATGTTATATTGATGTCATATTTAATGTTGTTATATTGATGTCATATTTAATGCTATATTGATGTCATATTTAATGTTATATTGATGTCATATTTAATGTTATATTGATGTCATATTTAATGTTATATTGATGTTATATTTAATGCTATATTGATGTTATATTTAATGCTATATTGATGTCATATTTAATGTTATATTGATGTTATATTTAATGTTATATTGATGTCATATTTAATGTTATATTGATGTCATATTTAATGCTATATTGATGTCATATTTAATGTTATATTGATGTCATATTTAATGCTATATTGATGTCATATTTAATGTTTTATTGATGTTATATTCTTGCTGTTGCCCACTTTTATTCAGGGGACTAAAACACAGCAACAGGAGGTTTTAAACGATGCATTTCTTCACTGATTCATCACTAATAACGTTCACACTGGTCTGATAAAGTGTTATCTAATCAAACCGAGGACAGTGATTTACAGTGAACCAGATGAATCAGCCATTAACTCGGTCATTAACTCTGGCATTACAGGCTTTAACGTCCACTCTGCGTAAAGGTAAAGCACTTTCACTAGCATTGCATTAATTCGGGGCTCAGTGAGGAACGTTCAACTGAGCAGATTTAAACGCCACACAGAACAGCTTCTGGGAAAACTGTCACTCATCTGTCACCATTACCCACAATTCCACTCCAGTCAATACATCCAATCAAATTAGAGCAAGAAAACAAATGCTCGAGGCAGAACAAGCTCAGAGAGAGAGAAGAGGAGGAAAGCTGAGGAAGAGCTAGTGAAGATAAAGAGAACGAGGAAGGAAATGGAGAAAGATAACGGCAAGATAAAAAGTAAGAGAGAAAGAAGACAGATTAAATGAAAAAGTGAGAGAGCGAGAGAACGAGAGCAAGAGAGAGAGAGCGAGAGAGAGAATAAGAGGAAATGAAAAAAGACAGATACACAGAGTCAGATAGAGAATGTGAGAGGTAGAAAGAGAAAGGTCAAGAGATGGAGAGAGAGAATGAAGAAAGACAGAGGTAAAGAAAGAGGTGGAAAGAGAAAGGTAAAGAGAGAGAGAGATAGAGAGCGAAAGAGAGAGAGAGAGACAGAGAGTGAGAGAGAGAGAGAGAGAGAGAGAGAGAAGGAAGAGAGAGAGGTAGAGAATGCAAGAGGTAGAAAGAGAAAGGTAAAGAGAGAGATAAAGCAAAAGAGAGAGAGAGAAGGAAGACAGAGAGGTAGAGAAAGAGGTAGATTATGTAAGAGGTAGAAAGATAAAGAGAGAGGTAAAGAGAGAGGTAAAGAGAGAGAGAGAGAGAGAGAGAGAGAGAGAGAGGCGCTGAAGGTCAGAAGGCACGGTGACAGTGGGCTGTTTTCATTTTTTGGAGCCATGTCACGTCCTGTTTACTTTTCCCATAACCCCTCACTGCTGACCCCTCAGCGTCCACACCGCTGATGTAAGCTGACCACCCTCACTCACAGCTCGTATCCAAACTCAGGGTCTCAGGCTCTGCGCTGGCGGAACAGCAGAACACTGACATTTGGCTCGAATTTCTGACCCGTCCAAGTCCTGCTCCATCAGCCCTCGGCCTGCTGAGGCCACGGTCAGCAGAAGACGTCCGAGCAGGAGACTTTGGAGAGCGTCCACATCAACCAAGCCAGGATTCATTTAGAACATTCGGGTGTTTAAGCCAGGACATATTTGGCACGGTCCTCCCACCCAAAAAACAAAAAATAAATATTAAAAGAAAAAAAAATGAGGAAAAACGTGAAGTCAAACAAGTTCAGACCAACTCAGCATCAAACAGCCACGTTTCCATGGCAACCGGCCTCCAAGCAATAAGCCTGGATTAACCGAATATCTGCAAAAAGCAAGAGACGACATTTCAAATGTGCCCTGTGCAAAAGTTTTCACATTTTCCATGTAAAGTTTTAGTTTTTGCCCAACATAATAAACTTTATAAAGTTATTTTAATTGTGCGTTAAAACGTGCAGCGGTATTTCAGTGTTCTCCCTGCAGACCAACTTATTTTCACTAACAAAACATCTTAACTGACCAGGGACATTCAAACTTTTGTATACAGACATCTGTAAAAACAACGTCCAGCTGTGCGAAAGAATAATGTTATCCCTCATCGGTAAACAGCCTGAGGACGAGAGCGTGTGTGTGTCAGATTGTGTTAACATGTACTGATGTAATGTTATCTGTCACTGCTGGACTGAGGACCAGAGATAAACAGCTTTAGGCTTCGTGCTGTGTGTGTGTGTGTGTGTGTGTGTGTGTGTGTGTGGTTATCTTCACTCAGAAGCCCACTCGGCTACACAAACGACAACCACACACGGTTCACAACACGGCTCTACGCTACCGGTCAAGATCAGACTGACCTGACTGAACGTTTTTTTTTTTAAATACCCTGTAATAATTCGTCGAAAAAACAAATAAGCATGATTTTTCACGACCCCACCTGCAACTGATCAACCGAGACATGGCTGACATCTGAAGTTTGCTTCTTTACTTTACAATGGGAGACGCTAAGCTAACATTGCTAACAAACGCTGGACTCAGACTGTCACCAGTCTCCTCTCCAAAACATAATTTCACGAAGAAATAAACCAACAGAAATCACCCAAAATGGCTTTCAATACATAAACCCTTCATTAACTTCCGATCAGGCATAACATTATGACCTTGTTTCTACGCTCATTGTCCATTTTATCAGCTCCACTTACTATATAGGTGCACTTTGTAGTTCTACAGTTACAGACTGTAGTCCATCTGTTTCTCTGATACTTTGTTAGCCCCCTTTTACCCTGTTCTTCAGTGGTCAGGACCCCCATGGACTGGTGGTGGTGTGTTAGGGTGTGTTGTGCTGGTGCGAGTGGATCAGACACAGCAGTGCTAACTGTCCACTCTATCAGACACTCCTACCTTGTCAGTCCACCTTGTAGATGTAAAGTCAGAGACGACAGCTCATCTGCTGCTGCACAGTTTGTGTTGGTCATCCTCTAGTCCTTCATCAGTGGTCACAGGACGCTGCCCACAGGACGCTGTTGGCTGGATATGTTTGGTTGGTGGACAATTCTCAGTCCAGCAGTGACACTGAGGTGTTTAAAAACTCCTGCAGCACTGCTGTGTCTGATCCACTCAGACCAGCGCAACACACAATAACACACCACCACCACGTCAGTGTTACTGCAGTGCTGAGAATGATCCACCACCCAAATAGTACCTGCTCTGTGAGGGTCCATGGGGGTCCTGACCACTGAAGAACAGGGTAAAAGGGGGCTAACAAAGTATCAGAGAAACAGATGGACTACAGTCTGTAACTGTAGAACTACAAAGTGCACCTATATAGTAAGTGGAGCTGATAAAATGGACAATGAGTGTAGAAACAAGGAGGTGGTCGTAATGTTATGCCTGATTGGTGTATATTTATAAGATTCTGTAGGCCGATAGTGAAATCAGCACCAGCAGCCAATCAGAACAGAGATCATTCACACATATTAGTAGGAGAAGTAACAAAAACAGCCTGTTTAACTGTAAAGGATAAAGACACGCTGGAAAATAGTCACTTAAAGTGAATGATGACTATTTTGGTGCATAAACCCCACAAAATGATGTAGGTCCACCTCAGGGAGAAAAATAAAGTGCAGGTAATCTCAAACAGACTTGCTTTTGTGGTGCCTGACACTGTTTGACACAAACAGACGTATGTCACACTGAGAAGTATGTCACAGTGCTAAAACAGTAGCAGCAGCCATCCTAAAGTCTGAATTCTGACCGCTCATTAGTAACAGTCT